CATTAAGAAACAGTATTAAAAATAAAAATGAATTTTATAATGGGCATTTAATAGTAATCTAGAAAAGCTGTAGACATTGATTATTACCATGTGTATTTATACTTAACTTGGTAAAATATTTTCTCAAAGAAGCTTGGTAACAGCCCTGGATTCATTTTTCTAAATATAGCATACTGATATTTTTCCAAGTTGTTGTCCAAAATAGTTAATCTGAAGAATTTTTGCATTTGCTCTAAATGTAGCAGATGTTCTTATATTCTCTTGTAACAGACACATAAGAAAGATAAATGTATTTTTTTTGTCTACTTAATCAGCAGCTACAGAATTTTCCTAGTCAAACTTATTATGTCCTTCAGAAGTGACTTTCAGAAATACTTTTTGGTAGGCTATATGGAGCTGAGTGAGTTTCTGGCTCTATGAAAGAAACAAAGAGGATAGTTAAAGTTTGAAAAGCATGTAAAAAATAAATAAAAGAAAAGCATGTAAAATTTTCTTATGAAAATGAGTGCAAAGGACCAATAAATACATAAACTTAATCTCATAGGAAGTGTGAAATTCAAAATTAGATCACAATGAACTAGGATTTTCAGTCCATTGTATTGGGAAACATTAAAATGTTGGACTATATTAGGTGTTAAGAAATCTCTTATGTATACAACTGTTGGAAGTTTAAATTGACATTTTGAAAAACAATTGTCTTATAGAGTTGAGTATGTATCAACTTTGGAATTTCTTTCCTTTATGTATTTAATACAGGGTCTACAGGGCCTCACTATGTAGATCGGACTCATAGTGATTCTCCTGTTTTCAGCCTCCCAAGTGCTGGAATTACAGGCATGCACCACCATGCCCAGTCCCAATCACTGTCTCAGAGCACCCTGGGGGAAGGGCCTGCAAGGCATGCTGGAGATCAAATCTTAGTCTCTGCCCCTACCTAAGCAGGTGCTTTAGTCTCCTGAGCTGTCTGGCTGGCCCCCTCAACTTGGGAATTTCTATAAAATATGTTCAAAACCCTTGTATGTATTTACTTTTTATGGTACTGATACACTAAAAACAATATAACCACTTCGAAGAGAATGGGTGAAATATAATAGAGTGGAATAGTTTACATCAGTGAAAATTAGTGAAACTAGCTACCAATGTTCACATGAATTAATTTAAAAATGTAATTTTAAGCAAAAAATCAAATGATAGAAGATGATACCAATGGTACTAAATGCAAAAATATCAATTTTTAGACAAATGCAAAAACATCAATTTTTAGACAATTAAAGTTCAACATAATGTTTCATGAGGAAAATACAATAGAGGACACCTAGGACTTCATCAATGTGGTATTACTTGGGTTCTTCAGCTTAGTAGTAGATAATTTGTGTTTATTTTATTATTATTTATAACATATGTATAGATTGTACATTATATGTATTTGTATTGTTGTATCCACAAAAATGGGTAGAATCAGTAATCAGCAGTTTCAGGCCTGGGACCCTCCCTATTATTTAATCCTTAGTTTGCTTTGTAACTTCTATATCATGGTATGAAGGGAACTCAACATGGAGTAATATCCTCTTATGTTGACCTAATGATAAATATACTATAAGAACATAGAAGATGCACCAACTCAGTTGTAGACTCTGATTTGCCCTTGATGAGATGAGGATTGGTTGAAGATGGTGAATGGTCTGCTCTAGTAACTCAAAGCAGTTCATTCTAAACCACTCAGACAGTGTGTGAAGTCAAGCTGCTTTAAAATAAAAATGACCATACACTGGGCATCTTAGAAAAGAAACACTATTTCTCACAGTTCTGGAAGCTTTCAAATAGAGGATAAAAGTGACAACAGATTCAATTCTTGGTGAAACCCTTCTCCTGGTTTACTAAGACCACTGTGTACTATCCTCATTTGTACAACTGAGAGAAGGTATGTGTCTTTCTTTTCTCATAGCAGTGCTAATTCCATTAAAGAGGATCCCAAAGACCTCACTTCCACATATCATTATCATCTTGGGGCTTCAACATGTGAATGTTGGGGGAACACAAATATGCAGGCCATGACAGAAGGATGGGACATTCTCAGATTTTCTCTAAATGCTGCTCTTTCTGAGTGGCCTCTGCCTACTCACTGAAGGAAGCACTCAAGTTGAAACCTATTTGCATTTGTTGCTCTAGATCAAATAGTCGAAAACTAATCAGAGTCCTAGATCACATTGACAAGAAGGCAGAATAGTTTTGCTTCCATTACGCTAAGTTTAGAACTAGAACAAATGGAAACATTATAAGAAAACATTTTTTTTTTCCCCTGAACCAGGGATTGAACTCAGTCCCTTGCGCTGGCAAGGGAAGGGCTTATTCTACTGAGCCATCTCCTCAGCCCTAAGAAAACAAAATTTAGTAAAAAATAAAAAGCAACAATCACCAACCCAAGAAAATCCTTTCATTGTTTATGTATCTTGTTAGAAAGTTGACATATAATAAAATCTGCAAATATTTAGTACTAATATGTTGTATTCTGACAACTACAGAAACTAATATATAACTCATAAGGCATCAGCTTAACTACATTTTTGTTACTCTACAGAACTCCTTTATGACACTTTGCACTAAATTTCTCCATAGAATAGCTTTGCCTTTAAATATGGAATTGCATCATTCATCCTGCTTATGTCTGCTTCTGTTTTTCACAGTATTAGGTATGTGCCTGAGCCATGCTGTTCTGTATTGCACAGTAATATTTCTTCGTATGAATCCAGCATAGGTCATCACTTCGTTCTCCCATTGTTAGATATTTGGGCTACTTCCCTTTTAAAATTTGAATTTGCTTAAATATTTTTATTTCAAAAGCTGTCAGATCTCTGACATAAATAGTTGTGAGTATATAGATAGATGTTAGGAGAATCTTCAAATACTGAGTTTTTAATCCCATGATCATGTTTTTTATTTATTTACGTCTTGTCTAATTTCAACAATGTCTCATAGTTTTTTAATGTATAGGGCTTAAATTTTTAATAAAGTTATTAATAAGTATAATTTAAAACAGCAGCTGTAAAATTTGTTTTTCAAATGTTTGCTTTTAGAATATAGAAATATAATTGATTTTTATCTTTATATCCTGTTAGCTTGTTAAGTCATACATTACAGACCTGCTTTTAGAGTTTTTAGGATATTCTATGTAGACACTTATCAATAAATATAGATTTTTAAAAGTTGTCTATTCTTTCTTTGTTTCTTTCATGCCTTGTTAATTTGACTAAAACCTTTAATTTAATATTGAAAAAAGTGGTGATATTATTCTTCCTTTCTTTTTTTCCCATAATTTTATTGAGAAACAAATAACAATGAGACAGTTTCAAACCAAATTGGTAGGACAGTTTCAATAATTACCACATTGCATACATTCTTCTTAGTGGTTAATTGCTGTACAAGATGCAGACATGATAGCCTATTTACGAACACCATTAGAACAAATCCCTCTATTCATTAAGAGAATGTAACTATGTATCTATACTAACTACTTTGAATACACAGATACAAAATGGACATTCATCTGTATCCCCTTTTTTTTGTTAAGTTCCATTATTTGAATATTATAGGTGTGTAAACTCAGCAAAATATTCTAAAAGAGTCCAGTAGCCCATAATAGTATTGGATCTTCC